TTAAGGTATATATGATCGTTCTTTTCAAAAATTATATTATATTAATAGGTTCCATTATTTATCATTTTGGTGCATTTCTGTCTTTCCTTTATTATATATTCTTCTTATTACAATTAAAGCCATTTTTCACTTGACCAATTTATAAGAAATATCCATACCTACATGTAAAATAGAAATAAGATGCTGCCATTTTAAGCAATATTATTTATTATCGGAGATAAAGTATTTTAAAGCATACAGTATCTTCATAAATTTTCTTCCACTTATAAACGCGCACACACACATACATGCACACACATGCATACACACACACATGCACACACATGCATACACACACATGCACACACATGCATACACACACATGCATACACACACACATGCACACACACACACATACACACACATGCATACACACACACACACACACACACACACACACACACACACACACACACACACCACATACATAAACATACACACACACACACACACACACACACCACACATACATAAACATACACACACATCACATACATAAACATACACACACATCACATACATAAACATACACACACATCACATACATAAACATACATAAACATACACACACATCACATACATAAACATACACACACATCACATACATAAACATACACACACACATCACATACATAAACATACACACATATTTATCATACACACGCATATAAATATGCATACACACATAAGCAAGCAGGCACACACACACACGAAATTAAAATAAGAATACAACATAGCATTGCAATTTAAAAAAACGTAATTACATGTATTTTTTAAGAAATAAATCATATTTACCGTTATAATTTTAGTTTATGTAATATTTCGTGACTCTTAAATTTTCATAGCTTCATAATAATAACACATTACATTTGATAATATTAATCAATTATATTATTTTAAATTGCATATATACATTTCTCTAACAATCCAAAGTTTTATTTACTGAAACATAGCGCAAAATAGTTTCTCATATTAACTAACTATTGTAACTAATTGTTTCCCGTATTAACTAACTATTTCTAATTTCCGGTGCTATTAGTAACGTAAGTAATAATTCACCCTTAATCATTTTCATTCTCGGTTAACGGATGTTCGTTAACCACGTATTAACCAAACTTGTTTGTTCCAGACTCTGCTAATAGACGCAGAATTAGCTGATTCACCACCCACTTAAAACTGTTAAATTAGCCCTTGATTATTTCTGCCTTGAGCGCTCGGCCTTGTGCTAAATGAGATCACAATTTTTCACGCATCTAAATTAAATTTGAATGGCACATAAAGTCGCCTACCTCATATTTTAACAATGGCCGTACACCTACTGACTGTCTGTCTAACCCTTACAAAAACAACCGATGTTTAAATATTCATAGAATAGTTGACATCATTGAAAAACTGTACGAAAGTTTGTTTTTGAGATTTGGTTTTTGAAAATAAAATTTAAAAATTATGCACACCTGTAATTTTAGGTTTTTTTAAATATGTATAAAAAATATGCTTAGTTGTATTAATTTAAAATTTTTAATAATAAAATTTGTAAAAAACGTCGTAAAGCCTATTATTATACCTACGCCTTAGTGACCATTTTTGTACATTTATTTTTCATTAATAAAATATTTCAAATATATATTTTATTTTGTCATGGAAGACTCAATGAAGTATTTGTATTCTACTTGATTAGTAGTAATGATTGATTAGTAGTAATAATGATTCTACTTGATTAGTAGTAATGATTGATAGTAGTAATAATGATTCTACTTGATTAGTAGTAATGATTGATAGTAGTAATAATGATTCTACTTGATTAGTAGTAATGATTGATAGTAGTAATAATGATTCTACTTGATTAGTAGTAATGATTGATAGTAGTAATAATGATTCTACTTGATTAGTAGTAATGATTATACTTGATTAGTAATAATGATTATACTTGATTTATAGTAGATTCTCAAGTAGTAATATTGTGTTCTACTTGATAATCAATTCCTTTTACTACTGTGCTAAGAAAGTAAGATAATTTTTTTTTCAAAAACTTTTTATTTATTATTCCAAATTTATTTCATCGCCTTCAAAGTAATCCCCCCCCGGACACAATGCACTTATGCCAACGTTTTTTCCAGTCCTCAATGCATGCTAAACAGTCATTGGCAGGGATAACCTTCAAAGCGCTCGGCGATTCACGTTGAATCTGTTCAATCAACTCAAAACGGTGTACCTGAAGTCGTCTTTTGAGTTTAGGGAATAGCCAAAAGTCGCACGGTTTGAATACGGTGGTTGTGGAACGATATGGGTTTCATTTTTGGAAAAAAAGTCACGAAGAATCAATGCAGTGTGAGCTGTCGCTTTTAGTGTTTTCGGTACCAATCGATATTTGACTCGTTTGAGGCCCTAAATGGAATTGACCGGTCGTTTTGAAATTCCAGCAATATCGGCATGGTCTCTAATTGTAAATCGACGGTTTGAAAGCACCAAATTTGGACGTGAGCCTTGTCGGTTGCGGTTGATGGTCGACCAGAGGACTCTTCGTCTTCAACGCGTTCTCGCCTTCTTTGAATGTTTATACCACTTTTAAACATTTCCTTCCGATATAGAAATACTCACCGAATGCCTTCTGCAATATTCTATACGTTTCCGTAAACAACATTTAATGCAAGTTCTTTGCTCAATTAATTGAGACATTTCATACATCGCCGGAATCAGTTTTAGCTTCTCACAAAGCCAAGCATAACTGAAACACTAATGAATATTTTGACGTCGAATTTCACAGATGTCAAGGGCAGTGCCAACAACTTAAAAAATAAAAAAAATAATTGAAATTCCATTAAACCCGGCCATTTTAAATTGAAAATTGATCTTACTTTTTGGATACAGTATTAATTGATTTGGTGTCTTAAAATTATTGTTGGTTCTTCAAAAATATACCTTATATTTAATAAATATGTGTAAAAGTGTATGTCGATTTTAGCTATTTAAATTGAAAGAGATTTTGTATTCAATTAAATTGTGCATATTTATGGCTTCGAATAGAAAATTTGTTCTCTCTTGCCTAAGGAAAATACTTGGCTAAAAATACCGCATAATTGTTTTTATAATCTTTTTGTGTAGATAATTAATTCATTAATTCTGTAGAAATTATGGTCAAATCATTCATCTGTAAAATATCTCTTTAGTACAAACAATCAACCACAATAACAAATGATGGAATATATCAAAACGTTAAAAATTCTCTTAAGTCCTGCATTGCTTAAAAAATCCAAAAAGCCACAAAGAAATTCTATAGCATCTATTTTCGTAGATTAATATTTATTTTTCCTTAATAAAATATTTACCCAATACATTTTTTGTCAGGAAAAACTCTATGAAGTGATTTTAATTAAAAATTTCAGTACAAAGAATCAATCACAATAACGTTTTCATATTCAATCATTTATTAAAGATTTTTTTTTTTACGATCTGCATATAACTTATCACTTAAGAAATCCAAAAATCTAGAAAGAAATTTTGTAACACCTATTTTCGTAGATTAATATTTATTTTTCTTTAATAAAAAATTTCAAATATATTTTTTTTCATGAAAAAGTCAATGAAGTCATTTTAATTAAAAATGTCTGGAGCTATTTGCATTTTATATATATCAAGTTATTAATGTACCCGGTTAATGATAACTAAGCTTTTTTTCTCCCTTATTTTTATGGAAATTTCAATTTCTTATTTTTCCGCTTATTTTTTGAATATTTAATGCAGAAAGAATTGGAAAAGTTTTTTCTGGTGTAAACTTGATATTCCTTTATTAATGTGTTAGTGAAATTTAGTGAAGTTTTTTGTCGTTAATATGTGCTGATATGTTATTTTTTAAAGAAATATTTTCTATAATTTTATTATTTTTTTCTGCTGCAAGTTATTTATAAAAGATAGGTCATTGAATTATTTTAAGCCTTCTATTTTTTTAAACATTTTTTTTGTATCCAAATCAAATGTGTAATAGTAATCCATATAATTTACTTTTCAAATTTTACATTAAATAAGACTTTAAACGCATGCAAATTTTTATGTTAACTGACGTAATACATTTTAAAAAAATGATTCTGTATTTTGTTTATATTTGCTTATACTTTGATTTTAAAATTATTATAAAAATAAAAATTTTGAAAACTAAAATAACTTGAAAATATTTTAAAAGTCGCTCGCTTATGTAATAAAAATAATAAAAACACAATGAAATCAGACTTCTTATCATTTTTATAACATATCATAATTTTTCTTTAAAATAAATTATCCTTATCTAGAATTCTAAAATTCAATGAATTATAGTCTGATAGCGAATTCTTTAGGTTTAAAGAGATATGATTGAATAGTGAACAACTGAACACACATTAAATTAATAATAATACTTCAATAATTTTATTATATACTTTGAACTAACCTATCATTTGATATGACCATGGCGTATGCACAAGAATCGACTGGCAAGCTTACAAAATCTAAACGTTTTCTATACAAATAAAATTATGTAATAAAAAGTGTATTATGTAATGTAATACATCTGGAATAAATTGAATTTTCAGCGGATTCCTTCATATTACAAGTTAGATATCTAGAAACGTAAGAAATATTAGATTACATTATTTGGAAATCAATTGTTAAGATACGAGCCATGGTATGGGACGAATAGAATTCATAAGTCGAGATATGCCTACTTTAAAGAAAAAAATATGTATAACATATGCCCATACAAAGTGACACACGATTAATGACAAGGTTTAGTTTTCTAGAAGATTGGGTTTGATTTCCACTAACGGCAAGAAACGAGAAGCCTCGATGGTGATTTTAATAGAGAATTTCTCCCACAGACAACTAGAAATTGATTATAGTTTTTCGGATTTTCTTCTGTATGACTTGCACTGCCAAGACACCTGTGGAATGCTATGTTAAACGCAATGCTCCTGATATAAAATATTGAGTCAACGGCCGTACCATGCTGAATATACCGGTTCTCGTTAGATCACCGAAGTCAAGCATCATTGGGCGCATCAGTATTGTGATGACCGCAACAAAATACCGTGTGCCGTTGGCAAAATTTGGGACCTGAATGGCAAGTATTGCGATCTGGCGCATGCCACAAAATTTCGGGTTCAACGAAATATTGGCGGTGCCATGGATGTTTTGTGGTTCGGAATCCACTTTAACGAAATGTTGGTCCCAGTCTCCTATGACTGTAAGAGCGTCACGGAAAAATTGTCAAGCTTCAACCTAATATTGCTCCATCACAACAGAAGCTGCTTCCTTCCCCTTCAATCATGAGCACGTATGGGCTCGTGGTGATAACACAACCCGAAATGGGATAAGAAACAACAACAAACATAAAATATTGTGATAACACATCAACGAAATATATGTTGTGACTCATCACCAGTGTCCTGCAGTGCGGAACGGACATCATATGACTAATCATGGATGGAGTAAAGGGGCATCTTCTGTTGTATGATGGAACATCCGTAGGTAGAAGTCTGACTTGTCTCCGAGACGCTGAAGCAGGGCAGTGCTTTACAGAATGACTTTTAGGGGAATTATTCCGCAGTTGCTTATCTTATTGGAGAGAACCCGGTAATCTGGCAAACGAGACAAGATACTGAACATCACAAAAACAATCGAGACTCCTCGTTTTTGAAACAGTGTCTACATTAATGCCGCCAGGAGATTGAACCTCAAGCCTTAATACTTACCAGCGGTGTATGTTACCACTGAACCACGAGTCGGGCACGAAATGATGTAATTTATTTATGCTCAAATATTATGAATGAAATCATAAAAATTAGAGAGACAATTTTTTCTCTTATTATTTTTAAACTATTTTTTTAAGTCATTCATAGACAATGTATAAAATAACAATAATTTAAAATATTCATAGGCGAAATATAGGATTTGAGGTTTTTATCTCTTAACGCTCTCAATTTGACATGTGCATTAAGATTTATAGCTCTAAAAATGTATGCCTTATATTTTGTCCTTATGCATGTCATTTGCTATAACACTTTTTTTTTAAGTCTCTTTTCAATAAGTCAATATTAATTCCATAAAAAGGGACATGAAACATGGAGGGACAAAAAAAAAAGGACAACATTTTTCTTTCCTTTTTTTTAATTTAAAAAAAAATTTGGAAAGTGTTCTTCGTAACCATGGGAAACCAAAAGTGAGTAAATTTTTTTTTTTTTCTGTTGCGTTTTAGTTGACTTTAAGAAGTTCAGTCGTTAGCTTTTTTTTTTTTCTTTCCTTTAAGAAAAAAAAAGATGAAATTTTTCTGTTTTGGATATTTGTCTTGGACTATTTCGTTTACACTTTTTTTTTCCCTTCACAGGGATTTTTTTTCTCTTCAGCATGCCATTTAGAACATGGTGAAAAATACTTCTTTAAATATTTGAAGCGATAAATCTTGCTTTTAGGGGAAAAAAAAGAGTTATAACTCTCGAGATAAAAAAAGAAGCAATTCTTTCGATATGTGAAATTTTTTTCAAAAAATATTTTTTTTTATGTGTAATATTTTTAAGGATAGAAATATTCTAGGTATTTGTAAGATTTCAATTTGTACTGGGAACGATCTGATATGTAGTTTAATATTTTTTTCAAAGAATTGAAGCTCTCTTTTATTGAATTTTCTTTTCTACAAAAACTTTTTTGTCAATTCATACTGATTTAAGTTTTGTTGATGAGATAATATTCGAGATTTTCGAATGATAACGGAAGATATATTGGTTTCTATCTTTATATATTTTATTAAAAAAAACTTTGACTTTCTATAAAACATGAATTATTTCAGAAAAATTAGTTGATTGACAGCGGATGTAATATTAAATTTTTTGGTTCTTAAAATCAAATAAGGACTTCAGATGCGATTTTTAGTAACATATCCAACACTAAAGAGCACTAAAGTATTCCGAAAGAATTTTGAGAAGTAACAGACATGTATTAAAGAAATTTGAAAAAACAACAACTCCATGTTTGATTCTAGATATTGTAACCATGCTTTCTCCTATGCATTGTCGAAAGCGCCCCCTATGGCGCTCACGAGAAATGGTCAGTTGGTCTGCAAATTCTCACCCGGAAAGGAAGTATATTCCGCGCAAACCTAAGTATCGGGTTTTCCAATTAAAAGTGGAATCCTTCCACGAATCTAGAATTTATCTGTCTTTAAATGTGCTAAATATTGTATATCTCTAATTGTGTGTATATGGTATATGTGCTTGTGTAAATAAAGCTGTGTGTTCTCAAACCTGTGTCAGAATCTCAACCCAATCACAATCCAGCTGCACAACACACAACATTACAATCTGGCACCCAACATGGGGCGTCAGATTTTAGTGTTGTCGGTTGGGCCAATTGTTACAGTGTTGCATTGAATATATTTTCTCTCTGGATTCCCCTCAAACTAAACGTTTCTTAGCGGAAGTTGCGCTGGTTGCGCTGTACGTCCTCTCGGGTGAGAGTCTCGAGACCTACCTGCGCTTTTGCCAGTGCGTCGGAGAAAGTATGGTTGCAATACAAGATAATCATTGTCGCCTGTTTCGAAAACAGTATTGGCGACATCACCTGACAGTGGATTCAAACATCAATCATCTTGCACTCTTAACAGTTTTTATGAGTTTGAGGAGAGTTTCTTATTATTAAAAAATATTGTTATAATTTTAACGGCTTTAAAACTTTTAATATATTTCTCTGTTTAGAATTAATATTATTTCACAAAATTTTCTGTGGCAGATCACAGTTTCAATGAAAATTACACTTATGAAAATATATAGTTAATATTTCCATAATCTTTTAACACTTTATGCAATACTAATGCACTTTTTAAAAGATCTTAATTATCTAGCAAAGTCCGTTCCTGTTGCAGTATTTTTTAACCACACCCTTTTAAGTCTATTTCATACCACACCCTTGTGTCTAAGATATAATTGACAGCATAGCTAAACTTTGGATTTAATTTTTATAGTATAGGTATTAATGTATATGCAAGTATTGAAAAATTAATTCATTCACTAAGCAATTTTTGCCCTTTTAACATTAACAAATTATGTGAAATTTGTTACAAACTACTTTGTAAGCGATGCTTAACTTCAGGTCAAGATACTAGGACATTTACGCTAAAGAAAAATATACCGGTTAAAGAGCACTTATTATAAGTGAATTACATGAAAATTGTGTCTTCTGAATTAAATTATTCTATGAATCTAATGCCAGACATGTGATTCTATACATAGGACAGTTTGTCCTATATAGCAGATTCAGCATAGCCCTAGATGGACCATGGAGAGCCTGTCTCTTCATGTACATTATATCTTCATAATTTTGAATGAATATTTTAAGGAGATGAAAGTTTCTCCTTACCCTATGGGCCGAATTAAATGATTTTCAATCTATTTATCTTGTTATTCTCCAACATATACATACGAGTTTTCTATTTGATACCACTTGTTGGATTTGGGACCAAATTCATTTAAATCGAAAACGTAACGCGTTATTCAGGAAACCACTCCAGCACAGACATCGTCATTTATCAAGAGTTTCTTTTTGTACAGAGAAAGTTTTTTTTTCTTCTGAAAAGTACCATAAAATTTCTGCATTGTTGCTTATCTTGTAGTAGGTCAGCCTATTCACAAAATTGGCAGATATGTGGCATATTACAATTTTTTTATCTTAATAAAGATCGTATTAGTTCTTGATATAAAAAGTTGGAAGACTAAATTAGGCTTTACGAGTATTTCCATCATTAATTAAAATGTTATCAGCTAATATTTTAACTATTAGTTTTAACTATTTTATTGTTAAAAGTACGAGTTAAATAGTCAATTAGTGGTTTAAGTAGTTACAATTAATAGTTAAAATGTTTAATTAATAATTATAATATTTAAAATTAATAATTAAAATATTTAATTAATAGTTAATAAATAGCTTAAATTTAATAAAACAGTTAATTAAATTAGAATAGTTAATAGTTAAAATTAATTAACCGTTAAAATTAATAAAAATAGTTGATTAACTGTTAAAATAGTTAAAATAGTTGATTAACCGTTAAAAATAGTTGTAGATAGCATGTTGTTTGATTATATTATCCAGTACCTAACACTTCATTCTTTTGATGAAGCAAATTGTATCACTACTAATTTAAATATCCAGGCTAACACAAATGATTTTCTATAATAATTGTTTCGTTAAATTTATATCGTTTTTCGTATTTTACTGTTACAAAAACATTAACCTTTTTTAAAGCATTGCTATTACTAACGTGCTGTTATTTTCCTTATTTTATTTTGTACCATTACTTAAAGACTGATAATGGCGTTTCATTCCTAATTTTAAAAAGTTGTAGTGCTTTGAACATTTCATTTTTCTATAAATATGGCAATTTTTGCTGACTTACGGTCTTATTATGCCACCCAGTTAAGCATGTTATATCATTAAATTATTTTTTTCTGATGCCATTTACCATTGCATTCTGCAACGTCAACTTTATTATATATAATAGTAATAAATTTGAATTTCCTTATTTTTTTTATCGATGGCTGTAAAATTGGTTCCCTAATGGATCGCAGACTTAAGCTTATTTCACATTTTCTTTGTTAGAAAAACTGCTGTGTAATGGTTTATTAATGACTATGATATTAAAAAAATAATGTTGGGTGAACCGCCTTTTGATGACTGATAATGCAAGCGGAAGCAAGTATTTATTCAATCTACAGTTTATGAACTAGAGTAATTTAAAGAAAAATTATTTTTCTTTCTGGCCACACCTTTCTTCGTTATTTGAATTATTTTTATTAAAAAAAGATCTCCCACGTAAGAAAATTATGAGTGAGTGCTTTCATATTGAACTCACATTTTCAGAACCAGCCATAAAATATATAAAAAAGTAGTGATTACTATTATTAATTTATTTTATAACATTAATTATTATTTGTAATTTTTTGTTTTAACTGTTATGGAAATTTAAGTATTACGGCAATTGAAAAACGTACTATGTAAAATGAAAGAAACATCGATGTTAAATAATGAAAATGTATCGCGACGTGAATGTAAAT